CTATCCCGTGTTGTTTCCTTTGCCCTTGGATTGTATGGTTCCAAGAAAATGCTGGGTAAACTGCTTAAATGTACGAGAAGGTGGAAGGATGGAGCGCACATACACTTTGACACAATTATAACCAAAAGCTCCCCCTATGGGTTGATGCTGGTTGAACATAAGGATTTTTTTTCGCAAAGCAAGTCAAGTCAAGGAGATAGGGGTGCATCCTGCAGTAGCCAGATACGAACAATTACCAAGGGCACAGGCGTCTGATTAATTAACAGAATGGTCGTAGTCCGTCGTTTTACTCTTGCGAAGCTACTGATGAGATCGGAGCACCTATGAGTCTGTCCAGAGTGCTGTGATGAACAGTGCTCTCCAATTACTAAGCAACTGATGTCACATTTGAGACGAGCGTTGCATCCCAGGACCACACTAACACGCTCTGCATATCCCACAGTGTAACAATTAAACCCGTCATTAAACAGCGTCGTCTTTGGCAGACCACTAGAGCAAGCAGATTGCTGCTCACAGCATGAATCCAAGTATGTCAGCCAGATCTGCCACTCACAGCCCTAGAGAAGTTATCAATATTTGAGGAGAGTGCAGGTGAGTCGGGAAATCTATCTCCGTGCACCTGAGCGAGGAGACTCTTGTTTTTCAGTTGCATAATTTAATATGGCGCCTTATCCGGTGTCCGAAACAAGCGTCGCAAGAACATAGACCATCTGGTTATGTCTGTGGACATGTCGTTGTTATTGTTCAATTTAATAAAAAAAATATAAAAAAAAGTAAAGTTCCCTTTTCACGCCTTTCGGCGCATCGGGCATATGGGTAATGTGATCAGCATTACGCCGGCTGTCTTTACTTCCCAGGACAGCCCATCCTGGTACCCATTTTAGGCTGGGTCGACCTGCGACGTCCCATACCACGACAAAAATCCACGCAGCCTGCAGTGGGTTTCGATCGCGGTATGCTGGCTTACGAGTCGGACTCGCAACGCCTTAGCCACGGACGCCGCTGTTCAATGTAATACTGTTTAATAATAGGGGAACGGTCTTACAAGAACCCGCCCCACCCCCCCCCCTCCATAAAAGAGGCAAGGAATGACTGACATAGACTGTAAACAAATAAGCAGCCAGTAAATGACTAACTTTTGTTGTACTCTAAATTGTGTACTGTATGGAATTCAGACCAATATGACTTTAACTGATTTTTAGTCCTCTGTTTTCCCGTCATCCATCACCCCTATCTTTAATTAGCGTATCCTCAACCACCCGTATCCTCTATCCCCCATTTCCTCAACCACCCGTGTCATCTATCCCCCCATTTCCTCAATCACCCGTGTCCTCTATCACCCCTGTCCTCTACCACCCGCGTCCTCAATCACCCGTGTCCTCAATCACCCGCGTCCTCAATCACCCGTGTCCTCAATCATCCGTGTCCTCTATCACCCCTGTCCTCTACCACCCGCGTCCTCAATCACCCATGTCCTCTATCACCCGCGTCCTCAATCACCCGTGTCCTCTATCACCCCTGTCCTCTACCACCCGCGTCCTCAATCACCCGTGTCCTCTATCACCCGCGTCCTCTATCATACGTGTCCTCTATCTCCCATGTCCTCTATCACCCATGTCCTCTATCACATGTGTCCTCTATCAGTAGTGTCCTCTATAACCCATGTCCTTTAACTCCCATGTCCTCTATCACCCGTGTCCTTTATCACCCCGTCCTCTATCACCCGTGTCCTTTATCACCCGTGCCTTCTATCACCTGTGTCCTCTATCACTATTTCCCTCCATTACCCGTGTCCTCTACCACCATTTCCCTCTAACACCTGTGTCCTTTATCACCATGTCCTCTATCAACCGTGTCCTCTATCAACCGTGTCCTCTATCAACTGTGTTCTAAATCACATGTGTCCTCTATTAACCGTGTCCTATATCAACCTTGTCCTCTATCACCCGTGTCCCCTATTAACTTTGTTCTCTATCAACCGTATACTCTATCACCCATGTCCTCTATCACCCCTAGCCTCTGTCAACCGTGTCCTCTATTAACCGTGTCCTCTATCACCCATGTCCTCTATTACCCGCGCCCTCTATCACCATTGTCCTATATCATCCCTGTCCTCTATCACCTATGTCCTCTGTCACCCATGTCCTCTATCAACCGTGTCCTCTATCAATTGTGTTCTATATCACCTATGTCCTCTATCACCTATGTCCTCTATCACCCATGTCCTCTATCAACCGTGTCCTCTATTTCCCGTGTTCTCTATCACCTATGTCCTCTATCACCCATTTCCTCTATCACCTATGTCCTCTATCACCTATGTCCTCTATCACCTATGTCCTCTATCACCCATGTCCTCTATCAGCCGTGTCCTCTATCACATGTCCTCTATCACCCATGTCCTCTATCAGCCGTGTCCTCTATCACCCCTGTCCTCGATCACCTATGTCCTCTATCACCTATGTCCTCTATCACTCGTGTCCTCTACCACCCATGTTCTCCATCACCCGTGTCCCCTATTAAGTGTGTCCTCTATCAACCGTATCCTCTATCACCCGTGCCCTCTGTCACCCATGTACTCTATCACCCATGTTCTATGTTACCCACGTCCTCTATAACAATTTCCCCCTATCACCCGTGTCCTCTATCACCATTTCCCTCTATCACACGTGTCCTCTATCACTTCTAGCCTCTGTCAACCGTGTCCTCTGTCAACCGTGTCCTCTATCACCCATCTCCTCTATCACCCGTGTCCTCTATCACCTATGTTCTATATCACCCCTGTCCTCTATGACATATGTCCTCTATCACCCATGTCCTCTATCAACCGTGTCCTTTATCCCCCGTGTCCTATATCACCCGTGTTCTCTATCACCTATGTCCTCTATCACCCATGTCCTCTATCAACCGTGTCCTCTATCACCCCTGTCCTCTATCACCTATGTCCTCTATCGCCCCTGTCATATGGGTCTACTTATACTCGTTCGGGGTATGGAGTCAGCCTCGAGTGCTTGAGGTCCCGGGTTCAAGCCCTGGTGAAGGCTGGGATTTTTTCACGTGGACTTCTAGGAATTTCCCCTGGTCTCTGGGTAGTGATATCAGGCGCCCGTGTGTATTGCTGCGCACTTAAATAAAATAACTTGGCAGTTGGAAATCACCCATGTCCTCTATCACCCCTAGCCTCTGTCAACCGTGTCCTCTATTAACCGTGTCCTCTATCACCCATGTCCTCTATTACCCGCGCCCTCTATCACCATTGTCCTATAATGGCGCACTTAAGGCGCTATTCGGGTAAAATTTGGAATTAAAAATCTACTTAAAGCATTTTTAGGATCCTCGCTGGTGCCACTGAGTTCGTGCATTAGGCTGAAATTCTTCACACTCAGCTAGAGTTAGATATAGAGCGGAACACCTATATGTGTACACACCCCTGTGGCATGATGTTGATCAGTTGTTTGAACCTAAACCGCGTCCTCTGCCTCACAAACGTATGCACCCGCTGACTTGTCACTCTGGCGGCCCTTGTGGTTTCCCGAGAGCAGCCTCATCTCCCGCAACCAGCGGCAGTGCTGAATGCACCATGGTAGATCACTTGGTTCAGTAATTTTCAGTTACAGCTATAGCCACTAATTGAAATATTCAGAAACTCTACTACAGTAGGACACAAACAGCTCGTCTCACACTATAGGCCCTAGCATCGTGTCACTGGACTAGCCTCGGTTCCCAGGCTAGCTCAAAGAATCCTTAGAAACTTGTACCTCCACCAGTAAGTCGCCGGGCCATCTTGATAAAACAGCCATATAACACTTGCAGTGTTATAAAGTTCAAATCTGTTTCCTCATCCGATCGCCTATCATCGGCAGCTTGGTCAACATATAACGCCTGAACTTGCTGTGACGGTCCAAAACACACTTACGTGAACGGCCTAAGTGGGTCATCTATTTTAGACATGGCTGACTCAAGTGGGCACTGAACGATGCTGAAAACAGATCCGGTAAGTGAGAGCACGAATGAGCACCCCATGCTCCAGATTGTCAAGGACTTGGTGGATGTTAGATGACATCTCGACCAATGGGAAACCGTCGTCAACAGTCAGATGGCGACACTGTTCTCCGCCGTCCATCGAGACCAGGATTCCTGTCGTCAACTGTTTCCGTCTTCCGAGAGAGTGCGCAACTATTTCCGGTCTAAAGTGGAGCAGGTTATGTTCGACTCTGCTCGCGCGTTTTAAGTCATGTGTGTAGTCGTGTTGATTTTGTTTGCCTAGATCAAAGCCTGTGTTATCGGGTCGGCGCTCATGCTTTTCATATGTAGCTGTACTCACGCTGGCGACATTATCGATCAAGGCTGTACCTCATGTTTGAAGTAATCTTAGACTCAGCGGTGAGTGCTACACTTTGTATTCACGCAGTGGCAAGGCATCAGGTCACTCACCACATATAGTTTAACAGCTATTCTTCTGCATGCAGGGCCGTATTTAGACTTGATGAAGTCCGAAACTACATATAGCCCTAACCTGTCTGTCTGTCTGTCTGTCTGTCCTTCAGTCAGTCCGTGTATTTCCTACCGATCTCTCTGTATTTCTGTCTATATATGTCTTTTCCCCTCTGCCTGTCTTCGTGTGTCTGTTTATCTATGCCTGTCTGTCTTACATTCTTTTCCTCTGTCTGTGGGCGTGTGTATGTCTGTTTGTCGATTTTCTGTCTGTCTGTTTGTCTGTCTGTAGTTAGAACAAATGAATGTCTAACACTGAATACCTAGTTGGTCATGTATCTCAGTACCCGTGTTTCAATAGCGAGGCGCACACGCCATTTGGAGATGACATGTTCGATTCCCGGCACGGTGGCTATAGCATAATGATGTGTATACTGTTTAGTGTATCCTTCTATCTATCATCTTCTATGAGTGCCGATCAATGCATTGTCTGTTTGTTCATTATATATATAATGGGACAACCCTAGAATGTTATGGCTGTGATCTCACGCTTCTCCTTGTGTCCCCAGAAGGTCGTGAGTGTGTCAACTGTGGGGCAACCTCGACGCCGCTGTGGAGGAGGGATGGCACAGGACACTACCTGTGTAACGCTTGCGGCCTCTACCACAAGATGAACGGTTCCAACCGGCCGCTGATCAAACCCAAGCGCAGACTGGTGAGTGAAGCATGCACACGCGAACACTTACACTCATACAGACGATAAGATTCACAGACACACACAGACATTCACATGCACATAAATGAGATGTACACTAAAGTTCATCCACGTACACACTTATACACATGTATACTCACACTGACACACACACACACACTTATATTCACATACTTACACAGACTATCTTACGCACACTTACACCTGCGCACGAACACACTTACACGCACACAGACTAGCACTCACACACAGATAGTCGCACGCACCCCACGTAAACTAGTGCCCACTCTTACACACGTCTATATTAACACAAACACACACATGCTTATACTCACACAGACTATCAGACACACTTGCGCACGCACACAGTTGCACTCACAGAGACTAGCAATCACACACTCACACACACAAACTAGCACTCACACACTTACACTCACACCGACTGGCACTCACATATTTACACTCACACCGACTAGAACACACACTTATACTCCCACCTACTAGCACTCACACACTTACACTCGCACCGACTAGCACGCACACACTTACACTCCCACGGACTAAAACTCACACACACACTCACACCGACTAGCTCTCACACATTTACACACACACACCGACTAGCACTCACACACTTACACTCACATCGACTAGCACTCACACACACTCAAACCGACTAGCACTCACAAACGTACACTCCCACCGACTAGCACTCACATACTCACTCCCACCGACTAGCTCTCACACACTCACACTGACTATTACTTACACATTTACACTCACACCGGCTAGCACTCACACGCTTACACTCACACCGACTAGCACTCACACACTTGCACTCACACTGACTAGTACTTACACACTTACATTTACACCGACTAGCACTCACACACTTACACTCACATCGACTAGCACTCACACAGTTACACTGACACACAAAATTACACTTACAATCTTACGCATATATCCACCCACCCACACACACACACACACACACACTCATACACACATGGAGATGCACACTCACGTACACTTACGCCCACACACACACATACACACACTTACACACACACACACACACACACACACACCCTATATCTCTCCTTCTCCCTCCCTTCTCGCTTTTCCAATCCATAAATTGTTGTTTTTTACTGTATGCTGTTTGTGTGATTTATTGCATCCGGAATGACAAATAAACAAACAAACAACCACGAGGACGGCACAAACACGCCTTATCAGCATTAACTTCTGGGGGATATAATATCTCTGGGATCGCCGCTGGCGCTCCGACACGCTCAGCACAACATAGTTTTGTGATATTTACTGACTTGCCGACGGCGTGTTATTGTTTGTTGTAACTTCCGGCTATTATCCTAACCTCCCCCTGGAAGATGTCTGCTCAAAGAATCCCTGGGTGTGTGCTTTGATGTGGGTATCTCAGGAGACCTTGCTCCCCTCCAGACTGGACACCTGATCAAGCAGGTATTTGCAGAAGGAACAGCACGTGCCCGGTAGTTTTCAGTTACATATCTGGGAAGGGATTCTGCACAAACATAGACACACACACGCGCGCACCCGCTTGCACTGACAGGGCAACGATGTGGAGATTAGAGCAGGTCTCGAGGACAATGCTCTGGTTTCATTCAGTCTTTCCCTAGAAGGGTGCTCTATCAAATCATGTGCTAGCAGTCCCGGGTCACATTTCTGTAAGGTTGGCAGTCTTTCTGCTTCACGATAGCATTACGAAAAATATATTCACTTAAGCATGTCGTAAGAGGCAACTAATTAACGTCTCGATGACATCGAATGTGTTGAACCGAGGGGTGCAAATATCACATCCGAACTGTACTTCCCCACACAGCGTGCCAATAGCTCTTCTAGGAGCGAACGAAGAAAGGAAATAAGTGTTCTCATCAATTCAGACCTCTTCGTTCAGTTTAAAACATCTACTCAACATTGTACAGCCCAGTGTGAAACATCTACTCAACACCCTAGTGTGAACGCCTACTCAACATTGTACAACCTAGTGTGGAACACCTACTCAACACCCTAGTGTGGAACACCTACTCAATACCCCAGTGTGGAACATTTACTCAACAGCCCAGTGTATAACATCTTCTCAACAGCACAGTGGGAAACATCTACTCAACATTGTTCACCCTAGTTTGGAACATCTACTCAACACCCCAGTGTGGAACATTTTTTCAACCCCCCCCCCCCCCACCCGGTGTTGGACATCTACTCAACGCCACAGTGTGGAACATCTACTCTACACATTAGTTTGGAACACATACACAACATTGTACACCTTAGTGTGAAACACCTACTCAACACCTTAGTGTGAAACACCCAGTGTGGAACATCTACTCAACACCCCAGTGTGGAACATCTACTCAACACCCCAGTGTGGAAAATCTACATATCACCCCAGTGTGGAACATCTACTCAACACCCCAGTGTGGAAAATCTACATATCACCCCAGTGTGGAAAATCTACATATCACCCCAGTGTGGAACACCTACTCAACACCCCAGTGTGGAAAATCTACATATCACCCCAGTGTGGAACATCTACTCAACACCCCAGTGTGGAACACCTACTCAACACCCCAGTGTGGAAAATCTACATATCACCCCAGTGTGGAACACCTACTCAACACCCCAGTGTGGAAAATCTACATATCACCCCAGTGTGGAACACCTACTCAACACCCCAGTGTGGAAAATCTACATATCACCCCAGTGTGGAACATCTACTCAACACCCCAGTGTGGAACACCTACTCAACACCCCAGTGTGGAAAATCTACATATCACCTCAGTGTGGAACACCTACTCAACACCCCAGTGTGGAAAATCTACATATCACCCCAGTGTGGAACATCTACTCAACACCCCAGTGTGGAACATCTACTCATCACCTCAGTGTGGAACATCTACTCATCACCTCAGTGTGGAACATCTACTCATCACCTCAGTGTGGAACATCTACTCATCACCTCAGTGTGGAACATCTACTCATCACCTCAGTGTGGAACATCTACTCAACACCCCAGTGTGGAACATCTACTCATCACCTCAGTGTGGAACATCTACTCATCACCCCAGTGTGGAACATCTACTCATCACCTCAGTGTGGAACATCTACTCATCACCCCAGTGTGGAACATCTACTCATCACCCCAGTGTGGAACATCTACTCATCACCCCAGTGTGGAACATCTACTCATCACCTCAGTGTGGAACATCTACTCATCACCTCAGTGTGGAACATCTACTCATCACCTCAGTGTGGAACATCTACTCATCACCTCAGTGTGGAACATCTACTCAACACCCCAGTGTGGAACATCTACTCATCACCTCAGTGTGGAACATCTACTCATCACCCCAGTGTGGAACATCTACTCATCACCTCAGTGTGGAACATCTACTCATCACCCCAGTGTGGAACATCTACTCATCACCCCAGTGTGGAACATCTACTCATCACCTCAGTGTGGAACATCTACTCATCACCTCAGTGTGGAACATCTACTCATCACCCCAGTGTGGAACATCTACTCAACACCCCAGTGTGAAATATCTACTCAACACCCCAGTGTGAAACATCTACTCAACATCCCAGTGTGAAACATCTACTCAACACCCCAGTGTGAAACATCTACTCAACACCCCAGTGTGGAACGCCTGCTCAACACCCCAGTGTGGAACATCTACTCAACACCCCAGTGTGGAACGCCTGCTCAACACCCGAGTGTGGAACATCTTCTCAACATCCATGTGTGACACCACCCAGTGTAGACGAAACTTATCACAATAAACACCAGCAACCAATCACGCGCGAGACAGAAGGACAATCTCAGATATGACGCAAACAACAGGGATTATTTAGCAAATCGAATCGCTGCATCAGAAATAGTCAATTACTAAGATTTAGAAATAGGAGCTAGCAGTCTAGACTGCCGAAAAACTACGATCTGAATACGTGTGCAGACTGTCAGTAGACTGCTTTGTATGTATCGCCATAAAGTACTTACGTCTGCCCTCGCTCTCTTTCTCCCTATATCTTTCCATGTGTCTCTTTTACACACACACGAATTTGTCACTGCTTGTTGCTTATCCACCCACCCATCCACCCAGAAAATCACATAGAAGACTTTGAATCCCCGCCCATATCTGTTTACTAGACATTAGTAAACAAACAGCATATTTTCACATGGCAGCTGGAGCCATTTGGTGCTCTCAGATCGTGCTCGTGTGTTCCCATATGTCCTTATTGCCAACAGCCGACCCTCTCCCCCCCCCCCATACACACACACACACACACACACACACACACACACACACACACACACACAGTTTCCCTCCCGTTTGCGCTGTGGTAGACTTACCCTGGTGGAGATATTCTTCAACTGTTCGATTATTAATTATGGCCCCTTGTGTGTGGTAGTTATCTCCCCCTGTCTGCCAGGCCACATCCGGTCATCTATAAGAACGACATCACACTGTTGGCTGTTCGGTACATGTGTACATGTTGGTGGTGTCATGGGGCCTGTTCGTAGCAGTCGACTCTGTCGTTTGTCTTTTGTTGTGTTTCTCTGTCCTGAGAGAGAGAGAGAGAGAGAGAGAGAGAGAGAGAGAGAGAGAGAGAGAGAGGGAGAGAAAGCATATATATATATATATATATATATATATATATATATATATATATATATATATTATATATATATATATATATATATTATATATATATATATATTATATATATATATATATATATATATATATATATATATATATATATATATATATATATAGGGGAATAAAGAGAGAAAAGGGGAGGGGACAAAGAGAAAGATAGAGAAAGACACATACACCACACATAGACACAGGGAGAAAGAGACAGGGAAAGACAGAGAGAGAGAAGGAGAGATAGAAGGAGAGAGAAAGTGAGAGCTGTAGGCTGCCAAGTAAACAGTGTTGTAATGGGGTGTTTTA